GCAGAGCCAGGAGCTGTGACCCCAGTGGCAGCTCTGTGAGCATCTTCTGCAGGGTCCCTCCAGGGGTGACAAGGTTGTACCTGTTTCACGGGGAACCCAGTGACATGTGGCACGACATCAGCTCAGAGGGAGCCCAAGGTGTGGTCGAGTTCCTCTTCCGGAAGGTGGTGCGCACGAATGCGGGACGTACCACTGTGTCTACTGGAAGCGAGAAGCCTGGGCAGGGCTCAGTGCGTCGTTGGAGCTGACGGTGACAGGTGAGGGATGGTCCCAGGATACTGTCCCTTTGCATTAGTGTCCACCTCGCTGGTTCCGGTTTTCTGGATCACACACCCCACCCTCTCTCCCTGCCCCTATCTGTCAGAATCTGTTCCCTCTGCTGACTCTGTTCCAGGGTCCTCAGACAGGTGGCGGTGGACTCTGGGATGCACCTCCTAAGGCAGATTCCCGCCCTCCCTGTGCTCATCCAGCCACCGCCTGGGTCGTGGGAAATAACACCAGTGTGTTTTCTTTGTGACCCTGTAAATTATCTAGCAGTGGATTTCTTCCCAGTTTCATCCTTGTCTCAGTTCAGACTGGAATGATAATGGGGTTATTCTTGTTTGTTTGTTTGTTTGTTTGGTACCAGGGATTGAACTCAGGTCCTTAAGCTTGCGAGGCAGGCAGCAGAATCACTGAGCTAAATCCCCGGCCCTATAGTGTCCTCTCTGGACTCGGTGGTCAGGGCCACTCGCACAGGCCAACGTCCCCGACTTGCTAGGAGACAAACAGGTGCAGGACCCAGGAGTCCTGAGTAAAGACTCCAACCCGATCCCTGTAAGGTGAGGCCCTGGCATGACATACGTCCCCAGCACATCACTGCCACACAGGAAGTGGTTCTCACACCTACGCTGAAGCCTCCTCCTCGGGCACACAGGCTGTCCCAGGATGGAGACGAGGCTGCCAGTAGCAGACTTCACTCATCGGGGAAGGAAAGGTCAAGGGGGTTGCTGGGCAGGGACCAGAGGCAGGAGTTCACTCTCCGAGATGCATAGCACATGTAGGTGCCACCTTCGGCCAGGCTCTTGGGGGAGATGAGGAGCGAGCATGGCCTGGTGTAAGCAGACCTGGGGAAGGGAAGCTCCTCTGTCCCTGCACAGAATGAAGTTGGCATAAAAGTGAGGCGCCTGACACAGGAGAGTCATGATTCCTCCCGGGGCCACCTGGGGACCTGGGTGAGCAGTCAGGGACGGTTTGTCCTTGTAGATGCCTGGAAGGGAACAGAGGCTGATATTTAAATCTCTATTAGAATAACCTGAGCTTTTCTTCTTTGTTGGGAGACTTTATTACTGCTTCTGTTTCACTGGTTGTTGTTGATCTGTTTTAAGTTTTTTATATACTCTTGGTTCATGTTGTACATCCGATGTGTGTAGGAAATTATTTCTTCTAGATTTTCTCATTTACTGGAATATAAGTTTTCAAAATGCTCACTGATGATTCTCTGAATTTCAGTAGTAACTTTTATAACATTGTCTTTTCACCTCTAATTTTATTAAATTGGGTACACACTCTTGGTTACTTTGGCTAAGAGTTCTTGTTAATCATTATAAAGAACCACGTTGTTGTATGTATTATTTTATTATTCTTTCAAGTTCATTTTATAATTTAAACTGTGATCTTTATTATTTCTTTCCTTCTAGTGATTTTAGTGTGGGTTGTTTCTGCTTTTCTAAGGACTTGAGATGCATTATTAGAACACTTGTTTGTAATTGCTTTGATATTTTAATATGTAGTAACTCATGTACTTACTGACTTTTTGGGTGTATATTATTCAATCTGCATGTGTTTTTATAATTTCTATTGTTTTTTCCTGTTGATTTCTAGTTTCATTCTGGTGTGATCTGACAAGATGCAAGCAATGACTTTAATTTTTTGGTATTATTAAGTGTTGCTTTATGGTCTAATATGGTCTATGATTTTTTTTTTTATATTGGGGATTAAACTCAGGACCTTGTGCTTGCAAGGCAGGTGCAGTGCCACTGAGCCACATCCCTGGCCCTATTTTTGAGAAAATTCTATGAGCTGCTGAAAAGAATGTTTATTCCTCTGTTTTTGGATGGAATATTCTGTATATGTCTGATAAGTTTATTTGATCTCGAATATAGTTTAATTATGATGTTTCTGTGTTGATTTTTTTCTGGATGATGTATCTATCGGTCAGAGTTGAGTTAAAGATACCCATTATTATTGTCTTGGTGCCTATGTTTCTTTTATATCAAGTAGCACTATTAAAGATGAAATCAGTTGTACCATTGTTGTATCTTCTTTGTAGGTGCAAGTGTTATATCTCGTTGGTGGGTTGTTCCCTTTACTAATATGCAGTATGTCTTTGTCTGTAATTAGAATTTTGGCTTGAAGTCTACTTTACCAGATATGAATGTAGCTATTCCTGCTTGCTTTTTAATTCCATTTTTATGCAATATAATATTCTATCCTTTCACTTTCAGTCTATGTATGTGTTGCCACCGAGATGTGTTTCTTGAAGGCAGCATAGTTGGGATTTGCTTTGATTCTTTTCTAATTCTCACTTGCTCATGTACTCCTCTATTTTTTTTTTTTGAGACAAGGTCTTGATATTTAGTTCATGCTGACCTTGAACTCACTATGTAGCCCAGGTTGGCCTTGAATGACAGCAATCCTTGTGCCTCATCCTCCTGAGTCCTGGGAGGATTACAGTCATGCACTACCACGCCTGGACTCTCATGTACTCTTCTAATGAGATTTATTTTTCTCTATGCTCTCTTCCTCTTCTATGTGTAGAATTCCTGTATGTTTTGCAATGCTGGTTTAGTCATCATGAATTTCCTTTGTTTATGTTTATCTTGGAAAGTGTTTCTCCAATTCTGAAAAATTGCTTTGCAGGATACAGTAATTTGCTATGGTGGTTTTTTTTTCTTTCGGGCTTTGAAATACTTCTTTCTTTGCTCTCCTAGCCCTTTGTGTTTCTGCTGAGAAATTAGTTACCTTGATAAGTGACTTGGTATTTTTTCTGGAGCTTTGAAGATTCTTCCTTTATTCTGTACTCTTGACATTTCAAGTAGTGTGACATGGAGGATTTTTTTTCTGGTCAAGTACCTTGGCTGTTCAAAACAGTCTCTTGTACTTTTATTAGCATATCTCTCTGAATTTTGAAAATTTTCTCTGCTATTATTTCAATAAACAAACATTACAATATTCAGAACAAAGGAGACTCCACCTTGATGCTTTTGCTTTTATTTGCATAACTTTTACATGCAGTACTGTAATATTTAACAGGACATAAAACTACAGTCCTATATTGTACATTTCAATCAGCAAAATTTATAGTATTGTATAAACAAGATGTACTGTACAAAAAAAGACACTGAGGCTCTATAAACAAGATGTGCAGGACTGTACTACCCCCCCAAAAGATGGGTTGTCTGTTATCTTGTCCATTTTGCTATTGGTTGGATTCAGCTCCTATAGAAGTATTGTTTTGTGGCAGTCATGTTACCTTGTTTATATATATATATATTTTTTTTTTGTTGTTGTTGTTGTTGTTTGTTTGTTTCTGCATCGAAACTTGCTCAGTTGCTGGAATGGGAATCCTTTACTTTTTGTGAGAAGGCCTTCTTAGGGGGCAAGCTTCTCTTTTTTTTTTTGTACTGAGGATCGAACTCTGGCCCTTGTGCTTGCAAGGCAGGCGGCAAAACCACTGAGCTAAATTCCCAGCCCGGGGCAGGCTTCTCTTGCTGATGTGTCCTGGGATATCGGTCTGTTGTGCAGTGTTGAGTTTAGTTCAAGTGCATTCAGAGCTGCAGCTTCTCCACGGCTGATGAACAGGGACCACATGTGCATGGAGTGTCCGAGCCTAAGTGACCTACTCTCTCTGCACCTCTCACAGAAATGCGGACCCTCGGGTGGTTCAGCCACATGTTCTTTAAAAGAAGAGTATGTGGGATGGATGGCCAGTGCATATTTTTCTAATTTTGCCTCGACACTGTGCTACTAAAAGTTATGGGTCAAAACTTGCTGGGAGGGTCTTTCACTGCTGTAGTGTCTCCCATTTGTGCTGCTTCTCTCTGATCTTGGTTTGGCAGGGAATATCCAGAAGCAGGATTTCCGTTTCCATCTCGTACCTGTTTCGGGGACAGTTCATCGATGGTGCTGTTTATTGCCCTGGTTGTTGAGGTTGAATTACCTGTTCATGCTAGGCTCCTGGGAAAATTTGACACCTTGTGTCACTTCCCTTTGGTTAAAAAATATCATTTTCAGTCTCTTCGATTAGGGAGCCTGTGTGGTCTTTACCTTACTCTCCAACTGTGCACAGCCTGGGCGTCGTCGCTGTGTGATTCACTATATGTCAGTCACGCTCAGGTGGCAGAAGACACATTCTTCTCATAGTGACAGTGTGGAAGGGACAGCTGCCCAAATCAGCATACTGTTTGGATTCTGGGAGGTTTACTTGTGACCTTCATGATCCTTGGGTGAACTTGCAGGCAGGTGGCCCTATCTCTAGTGCTTTTCCTTTCTTCCCCAGATCACAGAGCAGGGAATGTCGTCCGGCTGAGCCTGGCTGCCCTTGTCCTGCTAGTCCTCATGGCTTTGCTGATGGACGCCTGGAAGAGCAGAAGAGGCCTGTGAGACACCGGGGAGCCCCAGTGGGAGGCCTGCTGGCCCTTCCTAGTCCCCAGCCAAATGCTCAAATACAGACTCTCGTGGACACGCAGCCCACTGACTCTGTGTTCAGTGTTTCAGGATCATACAGAGTCCCATCATTCTTTTGAGCTGTTTTAGTTTTTTTATTAGCCCATGTTCGCAGTACGCACATATATGTTCACTGTGAAGAGTCCGTACGTGCATACAAGACATCTTAATTTGTTTTTCTTACCCTCCCCTCCATCTTCCATCGTTTTGCAAAAGATCCGTCTCCTGTTTCCTAGTATCTATCTTTATTTTGCTTTTTCTGGGGGGGGTACCATGGATCGAACTCAGGACCTTGCGTTTGTCAGGCAGGTACGCTGCCACTGAGCTAAATCCTCAGCCCATTTTGCTCTTTATTAGTATTTCCTTTGAGATTTTATAATTGTGCTTGGAGGTATGGATCTCCATACACCAGTGCTTTTTCTTGTTTGTCTTCTAGTTGGTGTCTGATATCGCTCTCTGATGCCTGTTTCTCATTCCTGCTTTAGTCTGTGTGACTCTGTCTATAAAATTGCTTTTCTATCCCTCCTTCCAATTTTTCTGTATTTCATGCATCAGATCTCTCTCTCACCCCAGTTTCTCCTTATTACAGCCCCCCCACCACCGTGCAAGGACCACATCCTCCCTTTCAGCTTCAGCTTTGTCAGAATCCAGCTCCAGTGTTAACAGCAACCATGTTCTCTGGCAGAACGGACACTTAGGAAGTCTGTGTGTCCTGCACTGGCGAGGCGTGGGGCTCGCTCTCCCGGAAGAGCAGGACTCACCAAGCCGTGGGACCTCGCGGTGGTCAGTGCGGTGTCACACACACTTGTCCTCAGCATGTCTTCTCTTCTTCACACTGTAGAGGCCTCGTTCGTCAGTAAGGAACAAAGGAAGAGCTACATCGACAGCATCTGTACTCTTGGCGGACGGCTTCTCCAAGCAGCAGAGTCTTCTTTCTCTTGTCTTCCAGCTCTTCTCTCTCAGATATCTGTTTCTTGTTTCTGCATTTATCTGGGTGGTTTTCCTCCCCACGTGTCTGTTTCCTCCTTTCTGTTTTCCAGTTTATCCCTCACTCACTCCAGTCCCTCGCCACGGCCTTTCCCTAGTTACACCCCTCGCCCAGCGTCCCGGGCACCCTCTCAGCTGAGCTGCCCCACGGGAACGCCAGCTTTCAGATCAGCATCCCCTCTCGGTGAACAGGTGGACCCTGCTGTGCTTGGTGGGGACAGGGGAGAGATGGGTGGGACTGACCCTGTGATCATCTGTGGCTGTGCTGAGCCGGAAGTGGTTTGCTGGGAGCACTGCGCTAGCCAGGCCTGACTGGCCGCCTCCTGCAGATGAGGCCGGGCCCCCGGGGGAGAACAGGAGACAAGAGGGCGTCTCAGACCAAGGCCTGGCTGGGAAGAGGATCGCCTTCCCGCCCATTCGTGAGGTCCTGCAGACTTTAGCTACTCTCCTGGCTCCTGTCACAGACCAGCCCCCTATCTCTACCCCTGTAAATAAACTCGCTGCATTTGCCCGAGGTCTTTTTCTCGCATCAGGAGGAAGAGCCCCACCTGGCTCCGCCTTTTGTATCTCTTTGTCTTAATCTCCCACCACTGTCTTTTCACTCCGCAGATCCTTCAGTCACGAAGGCAGGCCGTGGTCTGTTCTGCTGACTCTACTTCCTTTCACAACAAAACATCATTCACTGCAGAAGGGCGTTGTAAGAGGCCAGAAGTCTTAAAGATGCTTGGGGGCCGATGTGGGATGCGTCACAGGACTCCTGACTGTGCCCTTCGGGGTCACCGTGCTGTTGTGTCCCTGCAGGCCCGTCAGGGTGACCAGCGGGACAGTCTCACCCTTATTCAGGATGCCGTGCCGATGCCTCTTACCATGTGAAGGCACCAGATGTGGGGCCAGGGAAGGAAATAACGAGGTGAACCCTAGTAGATTCTGCTTCAGTAAGTAATTTAACATTCTGTTCTGCATTCGGTTGTTCTGTTTTTGCAGTACTGGGTCAAATGTTAAAGATTTTCAAGTCTTAAAAGGAAAGCAGAGAGTCGGGGTTTTAGCTCAGTGGTTCCACCGCCTGTTTCACAGGTGCAAGGTCCCGAGTTTGATCCCCGGTGCCAAACAAAACAAAACAAAAAACCATAAACAAACAAAAAAGGAAAGCAGAGAATCAAATAAAGACAGTTAACTTCCACCTTATAGCTCAGTTTTCTTGTAACGTAAGGAAGAGAAATGTTAATCTGAGCACAGCACGTGGCATAATAATTACTATGAATTACTGACATGCTAATTATTCCAAAGAGAGGACCAGTGACTGAGGCAATGCTAAATGAGTCCTCACTGGAGGGTGACCTTAGCACAGTCTGTATGTGTTTTGGGGTGTATGACCCCCCAAACACTTCCAGATGGACGAGGAAAGGAACCCAGGGATGAGACAGGTGAGCATAGCAACGTGGCCTTCAGAGGTTTTTTCCTTCCGGCCGCTGTTGTGCAGTGAACACTTCACTTCCCCTCCAGCGCCATGGCTAAGGGAGCAGCTCACAGAAGCACACACCTGTTTCCGTCCAGAGGTCTGGGTGTCTGTGGGTGCTGTGCTCCAAGTACCGCTTGGACCCAGGGCCACTTTCCCAACCTCTTTCAGCACCAGCCGGCCGTGTATTTCCAGGGACACAGGGATCAGCTTCGATGCCTCTCTGCTCCTTGCTTGGAGAGGCATGAGTTGAGCTCCCGCCTCACTGTGAAAATTATAGCAATTGGGTTTGCATTTTTCTTCCCTGGAAATGTTCTAAGAAATTCTTGTAAACTCAAATTCAGAGCAGCAGTCAGGTTTGTTTACTTCCATCCTTCCTTGGGTGCTGTTGGCCCACCCTGCCTCTTACTTCTCCCTGCCGAAGGTGTTTGGATATTTTGTCCTTTATCCGCATGATTTGTTGAATGGCCCAGGACAGTAGTGGTCTCTCTGCGTATCAGGAGCGGGGGTCTTAAGTCGAGGGTAACAGTCATTCTCTGGATATGATTGCAGCTGTTACTCTTCCTTCCTATTGGTTTTTATTGAGGTTATGACAGAGCTTTTCCGGGGCATGGGCACTGTGGGTCTCAGAATGTGGTTGTCTCTTTCCTGGAGCTGAATCCTTTCAAATGAATTACAACAGAATATGAATGTTCGGCACGTTAAGAAATACATTGCTGGGCATTATGGTTCGTGTTTAGACCCAAGTCGCCCCAAGCCGCATGTGGGTGAGGGGGGACTTTCTTTTTCAGAGGTGCTGAGTCTGGAGTGTGTGGTGCTGGGGTTAAGGGCGTGTGGGTACTAAACCACTTGCACATGACTGACTGGCTTGGCACTGCCCTGATCCCGGTAGCCTGAATAAGATAAAAGGGGCAGAAGGGTGCTGTTAGACCCTTTTGGTGCCTTTGCTGCCTTGTGTGAACCATGCTGTTTCTCCTCTGCGAAGCCTGTTTGCCAGCCCAGCCTCAGAGCCAAATGATCATGGACCGAACCCTCTACAACTGTGAGCTGAATAAGCCCCTTCCCCTCCAACTTTGGGTGTTGGGTATTTTGTCTCGGCAACAAGAGAAAGGTAACGAACACACTGGATAAATTTAGATGTGATGTCTCACACTTTAAACTGAAGAAAACTCATAAAATTAATCACGTGTATATTTTCATAGCAACCCCAAATATCCTATTAAACCCTTTTCATGAAAAAGTATCTTAAGTATGCCTTCAGGAGTTTACATGCTCCCCAAGTCCACTGAAGGGCCCTGACACCCTGAGGGAACAGGTTCCCATCCCAAAGATCCTGTGGGACGGCGTCCTGGGCCGTGTAGCACACTGTGGAGGGATGGGATGGGTGACAGAGGGCGTGAGGCACGGTTAATGTCCGCACCTGCCTGGGGTTGCGGAGAAGCATGTGGTGGGGCACACCCTCACCTCGCAGTGTCTAACCCACCCTTTCCTCTTCTTAGCCTGTGTTTCCTTTGTTTGTAAAAAAAAAAAAAAAAAAAATGGAAGAGCTAGTTTCTTCCCCAACTTGAAGTCTGACAAAAAGGCACTGTCAGCTCTAGGCACCAGGTCCAAAAGTACATCAGAGAAGTTCCCCGAGAGAGTCCATCGGCTACAAAAGTATCGGACCCGGGCATCTTCACCGACCCTTCAGGCCCTCCCCATAGTCTCGGATTGGATTACTCCCTGGAGCCCACCCTGAATCTTCCCACTGGAGTCTTCTCAGTGGTCCCACGCAGGAGATCCAGCCTTCCTGTCTGTGGCGTCTTCACCTCTTCTGTCACAGAGGCGCCCCGACTGGACAGTCACACT